GGCTTCATGCTCTGGAGGGGACACTCCTCAATTCAGAGCATGTTACCATAGCCTTTCGAGACTGAAGGATGCCTATGGATGTTAATGTAAAGGGCATGCATTGATGGTTTGTCCATGCAAACTGCAGTGTTGCAAGTAGGTTGCTGCAGATTGAGCTGAAGGGGAGATAAATACAGAAGTCTTCCCCAAACACACACTGGCTACCAAGGGCTAATGTTGTTGTGATCATCTGGTCTTAGGCAAGAGCACCAACCTGAATACAGGCCACTGGCTATAAGTGGTGGTGCTCCGAAAAGCTCAGTGAATGCCCTGTTTCTACCATCTGCCAAGCACTGATAATTATACACTGGGGAGATCAGTGATGATGACATGTGGGTTACTTGGACAATCTATTGCGACAAATGTGCATGCCTGTGCATTGCTGTAGTCCCTCCAGGCCACATATTCTGGACACCTGTACCCTTCTTTCAACAGTTTGAGGGCGAGGAAGGAGACCTCATGCTTGTGGAAGCCTCTAAAGATGCAAGGTCTTGCTTTAGTAGTGTCGTGTGGTTTTCCCCCCCAGCTTCTAGTGCAGCTTTTAATGAACATCTAGTCACTTTTGGTTTTGGAAAAAAAAAAAAGGAAATAATTGCATTTAAGTTACCTCTCAACAGGTCCCTGAGAGGCAAAACCTCCCCCAAATTTCACCCATCCTAACCTTCAATGGTCCTGATCATTCTCCCAGGCTGCTCCTTATGCCTGATGGGTATAAGTGAAGATGAAGATACTAGAAGGGTAGATTTAAACTTGTTGTTCAAGCCATCCGTTGTATAAAGCTCTTCTTGAAGATAATCTCTGTCTTCTTCCGAACTTCATCGCAGACCCCACTTCCCCCCCATGAAAACATTAAGTTCTTCGTCTGCAGAAACAAAAGGCCAATGTAGTGTGAACAACTGGCTAGAATCATAGTGGATATTTATGGGAGTGTGAGAGCAAACAGAGCGTTTGTTGGGATTAATTGATGAGGAAGTAGTTGCTGTAAGAAGGTTCATTAATTACCTTAGGCTGTTCCTCTTCAGGCAAGATAAAAGATGAGTCTGGATTATTAATAAAGGAACTTTTATTAACACAACTTGTAACTTCTTCTTTGTTTAAATCAACGAAACTTTGTAATGACAACTGGGGAGGAGAACACTCTCAAAACCATATTAGAGACTTCTCATTACTATTACCTTTCAGTAACAAGTTTTGGCTAGTTTCTCTTGATCGGTGGGCGGTCTCAGGTATCCACTGCGTACTGTGGGACTATTCCCCTTCCTGCGGTTTCTCGCCCACTATTGCTGGATCCACGTGGTTTACATATTGTTCCAGACCCTTGCCCTTGGGGTAGACTAATACCGTCCATTCCTCTGGACTTAGTCCTGGTATCACGGGTCTTATGCTTTCTCTAGTCAGTATCTTTTCTCCTTCTTCATTTAAGTTCACTGCCGGTCTTTTCCTAGGCACAGAGAACAACTGGGTTTCTTTATCTAGCTTCTCGGTTATGTTTTCGTTGAAAACTGTCACTTTCTCAGTTTCCTTGGATATGTTTTCTTCTTCTGTCATTTCCCTCACAGCTACCAGCTCCTTCAACTCCTCTCCCTCAGACGTATCTAACGGGTTTAACTGCCTTTCCCTCTCATGGCTGTCTCGTGTCATCCCTGTCTCCTCCGCACGATCTCCTTTCTCCTCTTCAGCGCGTGCTCCTGTCACTTGATCTTTCCCTTGTTCATTACCTATCTCCCACTCTGATCCTATATCTTCCCTTGCTTGTTCCTTCCCTTCTGTTTGCTTTGCTTTAGATGCTTGAGGGGACGGCTCACTCTCTGACTGCTTGGTAGCCACTATCTCACAGTTGCATTTTGGTTGTGTGCCGGATTGCCTATTTGATGGTACGTGTTTGGCGTGTGCCTGTGGTACTTTGTCAGTTCTGGCTGTGGGAATTTCCAGGGCTCCTCTTGTCCACATGCAAATATCCAACAGGATTCAGGCTAGTATGTATTTGCACATGTTTTAAACTCACCTCTCTTTTTCCTCTTTCCCATTGTTATTACTTCATATATCATTAATCAAGACTGTAAAGTCCTGGAGTAGGGACCTGTCCCTTTTTCCTAATGTTATTTTGTAGAGTGCCACGTTCATCAACAGCCCTCTTTAACCTCCCATTTCCAAAATTCCTTGCCACTCTCTGCTCTCTTTGGTCACCCCATTCACTCAACTGCAAGCAGAGCCTTCCTGCAGAGATCACCAGCTCAAACTGTCTCCAGCTCTGGGGGCACTTTACTTCACCAGTGATTTTTCTTTTCTTTTCTTTTCCTTTCTTTTCTTTTCTTTTCCTTTTCCTTTCCGTTTCTTTTCTTTTCTTTTCTCTTCTTTTCCTTTCTTTTTCTTTCTTTTCCTTTCTTTCTTTCTTTCTTTCTTTCTTGAATTCTTGAATTCTTGAATTCTTGAATTCTCATACAGAACTGAGAAAGATTAATGGTAGTTTTAAAATACTGCTCCTGTTTTATTAGGAAAAGAGAAAGATGCCAGGAACGCCAGGAATTCCAAACGGAAGTATTTGCCACGAGGAAACAGAAGATGACAGAGGGCCGGAGCTCCAGAGAACAGGAAGGTGAATTCTTTATATTAGACCCAATGGCTTCTAGTCATGGTGACCATGTCTCCCCTTCTCTCACAATTGAAGATGGATTCCACTTAGTGGAACTTGTAAGGGATTCAAGTCGTGAAGGAATGTGTATGTAATGGGATATGTTAACTGGGGATCTAGTTATACGTCAGAGAAGGGTGTTCTTAATATATTAGGTTTTTTTTAGTGTTGATGTGGCTTGCTCTTTGAGGAAATAAGGGAATAATATGCTGGCCATGTTTTGGTTTTTTTAAATGATTATTTTTAAAACAGATGTTCAACATTTGAGGGGGGGGGAAACCCTGTTGACTTTTGCTAGCAGTAAGGCTACAGTGAGAAGTTACTGCCATAAGAGGAAACTGGCAGTACATTTGGATACTGTGTCAGTAGAGACTTAAAGGTCTTAAAAGTAATTAGAGCAAGAGCAATCTCTCCCCTCATTCCTAAGTAACATTTGAATGAGCTCGATGTCACAACCACCATCCTCAGTGGCTCTCGGTATGTGGTGGACTGGTCATCAGATAGAAACTAAGGAGGTGGGTTTGTTTCTTTTTCTTTTTTTAAAAAAAGGCTGTAGTTTGTATTCAACATGGTGTGTGCACACAGAGATACTTAAACATATTTTGTCACATCTCATTTTGGGTGGAATAGGTTTCACAGAGTTGTTTTTTGTAGCAATATAAACTTCTGTGAACAGAGACAGATGAATACAATTTAACGTAATTGCTCAACACCATCGCTTTCCACTCGTAGGTGGTAAGAGATGGTCTGTATCCCTCCTTCATTCACTCCTCTGGCAACCAAGTTACCAATCAGTTCACTTTTTGGTAGTGATCCCTGTATCTTTCCCCCCCTTTTCTTTGCAGGCTTTTTGGTGGCTTGATCTTGGATGTGAAACGGAAAGCTCCTTGGTACTGGAGTGACTATAAAGATGCTTTGAATTTGCAGTGTTTAGCTTCCTTCCTCTTCCTGTACTGTGCCTGCATGTCTCCTGTGATCACCTTTGGGGGGTTGCTTGGAGAAGCTACAGAAGGACAAATAGTAAGAAAGTTTCCCCTTCCCCTTCTTTCATGAATTATGGTAGGTAACAGCAGCTGCATCCGTGCCCTTACAAAAAGTGGACATTTAGCTTGACCACTGTCCTTCTCCCTTTGAGGTATGCATGCTATTCAGCATAAACAGATACACCATTTTTAACTCATGGTTCCACAGATCAGTTTGAAACTGTAGGATCATGAGATTGGTTTTCAGATAATTCATTTCTTATGGAGGACAGACTCCCCATAATCTCATTCAGAATAGAATGAAGGCACATTCTTAAAATCACATACCTCAATGAATTCCCCCTGAATGCATTTCTGCCACTGTTTTGCATTCACAATCAGAGTGCTGAATCACTGAACATAAAAAAGGAAGAAAAACTGCTGCTTTTGTGACTAAAATGCAGTTGTTAAAGATGTGGGTATTTGCAAATATAGATGAAAGACTGGTGGCTATTAGGTATGAATTAGCGCATACTTTGCTATGTCAGAGGTTGAGAACATGTTTTGACATATACAAACCACTTAAAATTGCTGCTGGTGACATCTGAATTCACATGGTGACAGACATTTAAAATAATTAAATCGTGAGGACTATTCTATATGATTGAGTCCCTCTGAAAGTCATGACTTTACCTCCTCTTCAGAATCTGGGATCTAGCCTGAGTCAGAGTTGTGAACGGCATGGACCATGTAGCCTGAGTCAGGATGGTGTCTCTTTCTAATCATAGAACGCTGTCTGTGTTTAAACCTCCAGAGTGCAATAGAATCCTTGCTTGGAGCCTCTATGACAGGTGTGGTGTATTCTCTGTTTGCTGGACAGCCCCTCACCATCCTGGGAAGCACTGGGCCAGTATTGGTCTTCGAGAAAATTCTGTTCAAGTTTTGCAAGTAAGGCACTGTTCTTTCCCAAGGTTGTAACATTTTAAAAATAAATAGCAGCTTTTATTTTCTGTGCAGAGGTGATCTGGCGCTTAACTAGTCTATCGATGCAATGACTCAGCCCTAGACTCATCTATTCCAAATATTGCTTAAAAGAGGATGCTCAGGGGACCGATTGTGGGGGCAGGTGTTTCTGCTGTCCCTAAAAATCATGTCCTATTTCCCTACATCACCAAAACACCACCCTCAGGCAGACACACACACACATCTGTTCCTTTGCTAAAGGAAACAACAGATCACATGGGGAAAGTCTGTTTGAATAGTTTTGGCTTTAAAAAAGTAGAAGCCCCCAGAGGCAGAGAAAAAGCTTCACTTTGGGGAGTGAAAAGGGCTGGACTGGTTCAAACTGGCCTTCACTCCAGTAAAAATAAAATAAAATTGAAATCATCTGTTCTATAACTGGAGCTAATCCCACAGTATTTGACCATGTAGTCATATTCTATTTGTGTGAGAGAGGAGGTTCTGCTGTCTTAATGGGCAAGAGGTAGGACTCAGTGACTTCTGCATCTCTGTGATTTTGTGATCTGAACCAGTTTTGCATATAGTTGTTCTTCTCTTCCTGTTTTATTTCTTTCTTTTTTCCTCCCGGTGGCCCACTTTTGCAGAGATTACAACCTTTCATATCTCTCTCTACGAACCTGCATTGGCCTATGGACTACTTTCATGTGCGTTTTGCTTGTGGCGACAGATGCCAGCTCCCTCGTGTGCTACATAACTCGTTTTACGGAAGAAGCTTTTGCCTCTTTAATCTGCCTCATTTTCATCTTTGAAAGCATAGAGAAACTTTTTCAGCTGGGGAGGACCTATCCAGTCCATATGCACAGCGACCTTGACGAACTGACCTTGTATTAGTGAGTTACAATTGCTTTCCTTTCCTTTCCTTTTTTTTTTTTGAGCAAGACAAATTAAGTTCTTTGCCTGAGAGAGGCTTGCATAGTCAAAATATGCTAGCCATTTAATGCAAAACAAATCACTGTTTTCTAGAGTTTAAAAAAATGCTTTTCTTTTTAATGTATTGAAAACTGGTGCTTGGAATATTGGTTTCAGTTGGGGAATTGTCAGTGCCGGTGTTTAAAACTGAAAATGTTTCACTCATTGAACTGACATTACTAACACATCAATTTAAATGTTAGTTAATGGACTCTCTGCAGAGGGTTAGGGCCCTCTCACTGTCCCTCTTCCTGAATTGAAAACCATTTTTTAATCTTCCTTTGAAAGCCATTTTTATAGTTAATAATCTGACCTGAGAAACATAAACAGAATTGGACTGGAATAAACAGACATGTTGGTTAAAACAGTTAACAATCACATTTTTCTGTGTTTCAAGGACTTATGTTCCACGCTCAGCAGTAATGGGAACCACTGCCCTATAAACATATAATAAGCTACTCATAGGACGTATGCTTAGCATGGCTTTTGGACAACCCTTTATGACAATATAGGTATAATATTTGTAAACATCAGTTTTTGAGGACATTTTCCTGGCATTAGCTCAAAGAGTAATGAATTTTTTAAATGAGCACATTAATTTCAACAAATGATGTGATCACTCAGCTTACTCAAACACATTTCATGGCACTAGGTTGAGAAAGTCTGTTCTATGGGTCATGCTCTTCCGCAGGGGAACATAAAGTGACCTACTTCAGTTGCAACCATATGGGAGACTGCAAAAATAGATGCAATTGGTCTGTAGGGCCTAACAAAATATTTAGAAGTTTTGACCCTACCCTTATGGGGTGGGGGTGGGGGTGAGCACATTGGGGATAGAACATCAGGTGGGCCAGATTTTTAGACCATCAGTGCATCTCTGCCTTGGCTGGGTTCCAGAATGGGGTCAGCAGTTTCACAAGTTCAGATGATCAAATGATAATTAATTACATTTTCATTCCCATTCTTTGGGTTTTTGAAGAATATCTGCAGTTCTAATGCAATTTCATGTAATGTGTGATCTCATTTTTAAAAAAATGTAATTTATGTGCTGCTTTTCTCCCATAAAGGGGCTGAATGTGGCTGATATGCAAATAAAATTAAAAACAAAAATAAATGATTCAGTTGGAAATTATTAAACACAGATTATTGTGAAAATAATAATCTAAAAACATTTTAAAACCCTTTTAAAAACACACTTAAAAGTACAATTCCTAAGATCTCAGGTCCAGCTTACATGCCCAATGTAGTTTAAAAGCTTGTTTAAAAACAACTTTATGTGTCCCTGGCAGAACAAGAGGGAAAGAGCCAACCTAGTTTCGTAAGGGAGGGTATTCCATAATCCCAAAGCAGCTACAGAGAAGGTTGATAGGTTGATATGTCTTACTTAGGGGAAGGGGATAGTTTGGAAATGTACTAAAGACAGTTTTGTTACTTATGGAGCCCCTATATGCATTTCGTTTGTCTTTAGATTAAACTAGTTTTGTAGTTGTTTGGAAGAACACATATACAGTGGGGTCTTGACTTGAGAACTTAATCCGTATTGGAAGGCGGTTCTCAAGTCAAAAAGTCTGTAGGTCAAGTCTCCATTGACCTACAGTGCATTGAAAACCGATTAATCCCGTAACAGGCCGTTTTTGTTCCATTTTGGTTTTTTTCTGGTCTGTAAGTCAATTTTCAGGCTGCAAGTCAAACCTAAATTTTGCAGCCAGAGAAGTCTGTAACTCAAAAAGTCTGTAAGTCAAGCCGTCTGTAAGTCAAGGGTCCACTGTAGTGCCAAATATGAAGGTAAGGTGAGTGTACATGCCACAAGGACTATTCCTCTTCTAAAACCCTATTTGGCCCTCTCTGGCCTGCTTACTTTGACCTGACATAGATGTACTAAGGACATACAGTATTTGAAGTCTTAAGGAAATGGATTTTCGGACAGGGGTGGTTATTCCAAGTAGGACAGCAAGGTATGTGTTCTCCTACCCCCACCTCAAATTACGCTGTGTGTGAGCTATTTTGCTTTGGGAAATAAACAAGGCTATATATTGAGATAGGTTCAGTCTTCTTTATTATTTTCTTGTCTTCACCAGCTGCAGATGTTCATTCCCTACGAATCCCAGTGAGGAAGCCTTGAACTACTGGAACAGTAAAAACATCACTCCTTCAACAGTTCAATGGGCCAGTCTCAAAGTTTCAGTAAGTCTGTGGACTCTGCAGCCCACCTGTTACAGACATGATACTTGTGGCACAACATTATCCGTGGACTAGAGCAAGGTGTGCCATTTGTGTCCCTCCAGCTTTTGTTGGACTGAGCTCCCTTGATCCCTCATCATCAACCACACTGGCCAAGACTGATGATAGCTGCAAGCCAACAACATCTGGAGCATCACCAGTTGTCCACCCTCAGATCAGATCAACATTTCTTACATCAATAAAAATGCAATTTTCATAACTTGACATGACTGTACACTTTATCAGAGACATGGAGAATTGGGTCAGCACTCAAATATTTATACACATGCTCAAGTGGGTTTGCGCGATGAAGTAACAAAGGCAAAAAGTAAAAACTCTGATTGCTACCTTAATACTGGATTGTTGCAAACATCCTTGCATAGATAAGATTAACATACATATTGTGACTGAAAGCCTTTGTCCTATCCAAGCTGTCCGAAAATGTTGCTCAGTGTTTGTATTTTTTTTTAATGCCAAATAATATATGCTTGTCTTTTAAGATTCCATTAGGCTATTTATTATTTATTTTATTATTATTATTTTGCTGGAAGAGGCAACAAGCTGTCTCTAAAGGTCTGATCTGAGCCAAATTGGCTTCAGGTGAAAAGTGGGTCAACATTGAAATATAAAAATAGGCATTACATGACTGTAACATATCTTAGGCCGGAAATGTTTTAGATGGTAAAATTTGGTAACATAATTCACACATGACTTAGTGATGAGCTTTAATACATCTTGTTATTATAAGTTTTTCAGTAGCTATTTTTAAATTGAAGAACTTACTCCATTTTTGTAATTGGATTAGTGAACATGCTCAGGGCTTGGAAAATTACTTTGAAGAATTATTATGAACAGCTTAATTGCCAAGCCCCCTCACCCAGTTAGTTAATTACCCTGATAGTTGCAGTAACTTTAATTTCCCATTATTTAAAAGTATCTGAAAGTATGACTTCTAAGTTATTTTGTTAAAACAGAAATCAGAATGCTGCAAGCTGTAAGCCTGTGATACAAAACCCACCTATCTAATGAGGTCACAATTCTCCTATAATTGTAAAAACAACTAAAATAGTTGCAGCTACACTGCAAAGTAGTCACGTTACTTGCCGTTACATTATCATTGTAGCATAACCTAGTTACACCTCAACCAATGCAGAAATGACTTAGTTACAAGTTATTTGTAATTTGTTCCTTTGATGCTTTGGGAATATTCATAAGTCAAACAGGCAGCAATATTACCAAAAAGCAGTTCTTTCATTTGGATAGGATCTTCCATGCATAGCTTTATACGGTACCGTATTTTTCCATTTATAAGATGACCCAAAGTATAAGACAACCCCCCTTTTTCTAACCCCAAATTAGAAAGAGCAGGGATCAAAGGGCTCCCTTTTTGCTAAGCCCTGTGCCTTGGCAAAAGGCAAGGAAAGCGGCTGTCAAAATAACTGCCGCTTTTCCTCGCCTTTTGTGAAGGCACTTTTCTTTAGCAAAAAGGAAGGGGAGCCATTGCTCCCTGTCCTTTTTGCTAACCTCTGTGCCTTCTCAAAAGGCGAGGGTGCGCTGGAGCCGTAGATGGCTTCCCTTCCTTTTTGCTAAATCCAGGCTGCCCGTGCCTTTTGAGAAGGCACGGAGGGTAGCAAAAAGGACAGGGAGCAATGGCTCCCCTTCCTTTTTGCTAAAGGAAAGGCAGGGGTAAAGAGCTGCCTTCCGTGTATAAAACAACCCTCTTTTTTTCTCAAATTATCTAAGGAAAAAGTATCATTTTATACATGGAAAAATATGGTATATAGTATAATATAAAAGCAGACCAAGTTATCCATATTTTCAGCTTATTTCAGTCACAGGCAAAAGACAAAGAGCTTTGCATTGCCATTTGCGGGAAAGTGTGAAATGCATTTATTATTACTATCTTCTTAAATATTTGACTTTTGGAGGGGCCTTTGTAGGTTAATCTTCTCTGGACTTTAACTGTGGGAAGCGTCTGCACCGAGGTTTCTCATTATATATCACTTCCATTTCCATACCTTTTCTTATCTTTATTTTGCCAGTACTCTTCAAGCATTTGCTATTATATATCTTCTTGCACAATTTAAAGCTTGGTGTTTTCCTCAAATCAAAATACTGAATTTTCACAATTGCAGCCGTGCACTTAGGAGGATTTCTGCTGAGTAATAAAGTTCCAAATTTAGCCTGCACACAGGCATTTTTGGGTGTACCTCAATCAATGCAAAAAGGCATGTCTGATGAAGTGGACATGTTCCCATTTAAAAAGTAACCTTTAAGGTGCCATCACGTTTTTGGCTTTTTTAACTTTTTATTTCTATTTTGCTTTTACATATAATGCTTGCACAGCCACTAACATGGCCACTCCTTCTACAACTACAGACATTTGTTTTTGTTGCTTTTGTCAATTGTTTCATGCTGTTTCTTTGGTACTAGAAGTCTGAACCCCTGATTTATTCAACGGCTCACTTTAGTTAATCTGTACAGTTGTCCATGTTGTCCCCTGTTGCCACCATGATGTCACCATTGCCACTGTTGTCATTTTAATGATCTGATTACATTTGTTTGTTCAGGAATGCAAGGAGCTTCATGGAGAGTTCACAGGACCTACATGTGGGCTGAATGGCCCTATGACCCCTGATGTCCTTTTCTGGTGCTGCATCTTGTTCTTTTCTACCTTTATCTTGTCAAGCCTTCTGAAGATGTTTAAGAGCAGTAGTTACTTTCCAACAAAAGTAAGTGGGTGACAGACTTTAAAACCAACACACTTGACTCTCTTGAGTGACCTTTAGCATTTTGTATATTGGGAATCAGGAGGGAATCCACACTTCCTCTTTATTTAGATGAACAAACTAGGTTCCCCTTGACATTTAGTCCCGTCATGTCTCCTCTTTATTAGATGGACAAACTAGGTTCCCCTTGACATTTTGTCCCATCATGTCAGACTCTAGGGAGCGGTGCTCATCCCAGACTCTAGGGAATGGTGCTCATCCCTGTTCCCAAGCTGTAGAGCCAGCGTTTGTCCGGAGACATTTTCTGTGGTCAAGTGGCCTGCGCAACTAGACACTGAATGCTGTTACCTTGTGTGCAACTAGACACTGAATGCTGTCACCTTCCCACCGAGGTGGTACCTACTTATCTACTCTCATTTACATGCTTTCAGACTGCTAGGTTGGCAGGAGCTGGGACAAGCGACAGGAGCTCACTCCGTCTTGTGGATTTGATCTTATGACTGCTGGTCTTCTGACCTTGCAGCACAGAGGTTTCTGCAGTTTAACCCGCAGCGCCACCACGTCCCTGTGATGGACAAACTAGTTTTGTGGGAAGGGGGCTTTAGGTTTGTGCTGCTCTTATATCTTCTTTCCTCGGTCATGTAAGGCAGACTGAAGTATATAGCAACTTGACCCTTATTCAGAAGAGGAAATGAGTTGCATTCTGATTCAGATAACATCTGCATCATTTTTTGAGTGGAAAGATATGCCTGTGTGTCTGTTTGTCTCTGACCCAGCTGCAGAGTTGCAGGACAAAGTTCAGGCTGGGCTCAGGAGCTGTACATGTACATCAGAATGTGCCTCATTTGTTTCTTGCATTGTGCATGCATGAGGAAGGTTTTGTGGAAGAAGAGGAGAGAGAGATGGCGGGGCAAGGGAGAGAAAAGTTGTTGGTCTGTCTCAGGGTTGGCTTATTTTTGTCTTTCAGTATCTTCCCAGCATGGGTGGCTTGTGGACTGAGAAAATTTTGGGAAGGGTATTCCTGTTGATAAGCCACCCGTGCTTCTTAACTTTTTGTTATGTTTCCGATTATAGTTGTGTCTGGACTGGACTAGGTAAAATGTTTTTTGGGGACCTTGCTCCTGATTTAGGCTAGTATCCCCAAGGTTGCTTTGGCTTCCACAGATTCACTGATCTGGCACCATAGACGATTGCCTCATTTGCTTTATGCATCTACTCGAAATGCTTTTTGGTATCATCGTACTGCCTTTGCCCTCTGTGTGTGCCACATTGCGGCCTGGATGATGTGTATTCAATTTGCAGGTGATCAGATGGGCTGGTAATCCTCCCTTATCACAGGGAGAGTTGGGTTCATGGCATTTGGGCCTTTTTAGCCCCTGTCCTCTCCATCTCCATACTGGGTAGCCATTGTGAAGACCATTAGGGAACATCTTGAGTGCTTTGTTAAGTTGGCTTACACCCTGCTGAACTTTTTCTTGGTTTCTCTTGCTAGGTCCGTTCCATGATTGGTGACTTTGCTATTTTCCTTACCATTGTTATTATGGTGGCAATTGACTATTTAATTGGGATCCCATCACCAAAGCTTCAAGTGCCCAGCAAATTCCAGGTAGGCATGTCATTCTCCTTTTCTAGTGAAATATCTCATACGACGTCAGCTAGCTTTTGGACATGGAAAACACATTGCACTGAGTGCGTGGAAAAGAGGCTGTCTGTCACATGTTCTTTGTCCTGTTTATTCTCTCTTTCTCTCTCTCTCTCTCTCTCTCTCTCTCTCTCTGTGTGTGTGTGTGTGTGTGTCCAGAAAGTAAGCAGAAACAACTCCTGGCACTGCCAGCCAAATTGTCTGATAATCTCAATGCTTAGTGCTATTTGCATATTGCAACACATCTCTTGACACCTTAAGAAAAGCATCTCAAGGAAGAGGTTCAGAGACCTAGGATTGTTTTTCTCTCTGCAAAACATTTTCTTTTGTGAAAGCTAAAGCTCACATCTGAAATCAACACAGAAGTCTCCTTAACTCAACATGTCCTAAAGCTGTCCTCCACCTGGGGAGCCATGGCTTGATTGCTGACAAGACCCTACATGCCAACCCTGGGATTCCTGCCTGCAGCAACAGAACATTCTTCTGCAGCCTATTGAGGAGCGCACTGTCAGTCCCCGAGTAGAGGCAACATTACCTTGTAGGTGTGAATTCTAGGAGAGGTCAATAACGGCAAGCAGTCTTTCTTTCTGGGGGTGCCTTTTCCAGTATTAATACTCTTGTTGATTTTGAGGATTTCATAACATGGTTAGGAACACCATTTGAAAAGCACTGTCTCTGAGTATCTTTACCACTAGGAAAAAGCTTATCAGGATTCCTGGCAAGAGGGGCAGATGATTAGTTCATAGAATATGTTGGGAAGGGGGCACTGTATCCTGCTTATCACCAAGACCGTTTCCAGCATTTTATGAAGGAAATTGGTCATTGGTCTGATATGCAGGAGAGACATTATACTTCTGTGGTTGGTATGTGTGTCCCTGAATGAGTGTTTCTACATAAAGAATCCTTTGTTTTCTGCATGGATTTTGACAGCTCTAGCAAAAATGGACAATACAGTCGTGCCCGCTTAATGATTATTCCATATTATGACGAATCTGCTTAATGACAATGTTTTTTCGGTCGCAATTGTGATTGCAAAACGATGTTTAAATAGGTTTTTTTCATTTGACGATGATCGGTTCCTGCTTCGGGAACTGATTCTTCGCTTAACGACAATCAAAACAGCTGATCGCCCGGGTTTTCAAAATGGCCACCGGGTGCTTAAAATGGCTCTGCGCTGTGCTTAGGGACCAATTCCTCTCTATACAGGCACTGAAAATGGCCGGCATATGAAGGATCTTCGCTGGATGGTGAGTTTTTAGCCCATTGGAACGCATTGAACGGTTTTCAGTGTGTTTCAATGGGCTTTTTAATTTCGCTTTATGATGTTTTCGCTTAACAGCAATTTTCCTGGAACGGATTATCGTCGTTAAGCGAGGCACCACTGTACAGTATATTTAAATTCAGAATGAGAAACATCAAGCAAGGCTTATATGGGATATCTCATGTTTTTTCTTTCTTTCCATAGCCAACGAGAAATGACCGTGATTGGATTGTGAGCCCCATAGGGACCAACCCCTGGTGGACGGTGGTAGCAGCTGTCATCCCAGCTCTGTTGTGTACTATTCTGATATTTATGGACCAGCAAATCACAGCAGTTATTGTGAACAGAAAGGAACACAAACTTAAGGTAATGTTTCTGTACAGCCGCAATAGACTGTCGTGTTTTTCTTCCTCTGGCTCTGATGTGAAAAGGAAAATCATGCTGTCTTACTGGAATCACTGCAGCTTTTGCTTTGAGGTATTGAAGGACCCTGTTAAGGACAATGGCTTGGATCCAGAGAAAGTTGTTCCTGGGACAAATTTAGCCATGATCATGATGAATTAAGTTCCACTGATTTTAGTGGGGCAGGTGTTTCACTAAGTAAGGTAACCGTGCTATATCCATTTTCCCCAGGTTTAAGCCTCATTGATCTCAGTGGGAATTAATTACAATTAAACCTGTATAGAATTGCATTGTAAAACTGCACCCAATCCATCCATTTCTCACAGGTTACATAGAAGTTGAGGGTAATGGGAGTTGAACCATAAATGTAACTTAATGGTGGGTTCTTCTTTGTGGCCTCTGTGAATGGAGCCAATTGGGTCTCTGTGAATGCAGCCGATAGGGTCTGCGCCTGCGCAGACCCTATCGGAAGTTTCTAGTGCTTAAAGACATGTGATTAGTAGGACATTCCCCCGTGGAGCGCATGCTCCGCCCGCCAGAAGTCCCCTGAATTTCTTTTTGCCGCTGCTTAGATGGGACTTATTTCAGAATGTTAGAGCGATCATACTGTTGTTGGGATTATTGATCATTGAGATCCTTTATTTTTCAATCATCTTTCTTTGGACATTTTCCCCCTGTGAGTTACCTGTTTTCCCCTTTCAATTTACTCGTCTTTCAGTCTTCCCGTGGTATTTCCCCCTCCCCCACCTTTCTCCATTCTCTTTCCCTGAACTTTTATGGCTCCTCCTGTGCCCTTCAAGCAGTGCGTGCTCTGCACGAATCAGATCCCACTTACTGACAGACACAACCGTTGCCTTTTTTGTCTTGGGGAACAACATCAAACAAACCCCTGTCCCGAGTGTAAAAAGCTTACAAAGCCCGACTTTAAAGGGTCCGCTCTTGCTCTGGGAGTGTAAAAAACTTACAAAGCCCACCTTAAAACTACGACTTTAAAGGGTCCGCTCTTGCTCTGGGAAAAATCTTTAAATGTGGCTTCCATGGATCCGCCGGCGTCTCCAACTCCTGAACGTCGTGAAATTCCTCTGGCTTCCATGGATCCGCCGGCGTCTTCAACTCCTGAACGTCGTGAAATTCCTCGCCCGATATCGAGCCCAATGAATCCTTCGCCTTGGTAAAAGGACCATTCAAAGTCGACTTCAAAATCGAAATCGAGCTCAACGTCTGCATCGAAGGCCCCAACCCATCCTGATGACTCTTGAAATCGAGCTCAACGTCTGCATCAAAGGCCCCAAACCATCCTGATGACTCTTTTAAGAAGAAGAAAGATAAACTTTAAAATACCAAAAACCCCCAACGAAATCGACTCATATTGATCTACCTCAATCGGTATTACCATCACTGATCCTTGAGTCATCTAGAGACGCCTTTTGCTCTGATAGAGACGATCAGACTTTGACATTGGCTCAGGCTGCTGCTATTGCCAGCCTTTCACCGAGTACTGGCCCATCTCTGGCTGTTGTTCATTCCAACCCGGCCTCGGCCCGTTCAAGCCCTACATCTTTAGGGCGGGCGATACCTATTCCAGTCTCTGAATCTGAATCGTCTCACTAGTCTCATAGAAAACGTTGAGCAAAGAGATGACACCTGTTGCCGGTCCAATATGATGCACTGCACAGGGTATATTATTACTATCCTGAACCATCTCAGTACCAACCTAGATATGAACATCCGTATCATCGTTATGACCCCTATTACCACGATGACTTGATTGAGCATGCATATTATGACGAGCCTAAAATGGTGAGATATGTTTATCCATCTCAACATTCACCTTCCGCTTTGCCTTCACCACCAGGACACCAACATCGTCCTTCTACTATGTACCAGACATCGACACAGATCCCAATCAAATCAGCTCTCAAACGCACTCTTCTATCACCTGTCCAAGAACACTCTCAATCCAAATGGGCGAGACAATCCTCCAAACAATCCCGACACCAAACCTCTCTACGAGTTACTACCACTTACAGTATAAGGGTCCTCTTCCCCTCCTACTGACACTGAACAACGTACTACTCCACAGTTACTGCCTACATTGGTATCGACGGCTAAACCTCCACATCCATCACCATCTTCTGACTCTTCTTGTGCTATTCCAGATTCCAACTCTGATGTTTCTCAAGAATCTCCCTCTAATCTACCTATCCCTTCTTCTGATGTAGCCGAGAATCACTCACCTTCCCCATCAGAAGATATTACCTCCTACTCTCAACTAGTGATGCGAATGGTAAAATCCTTACAATTAGACATAGAAGAACCACCACCTCAAAAACAAGATCTGGTCTTTGATGACCTTAATCAGGACAAGATGCCACCTCTCAGCTTGACTATGCTTGAGTTGGTGAAAGAATCATGGGACAAACCCCCTTTCTCATTACAAATCTTGGATGTGTAGAGAATCATTACTGTACGTATAAGACCAATGGTCCCGATACAGCATTTCTCTCTAAACATCCTACACTGGTACCTACACAAAAACTCCAACCACCACCCACAGCAAAAAAGAGGCATAATCAAAACACTGGTAGACCGGGCAAATCGGAACTGTGAAACTCAGTTTCTCAGCACTGAACTCAACCACCTGAATTGGGCCCTACAGGCAAATGGCTACTCCAAAAATGAAATCACAAGAGCCATCAAACCCAGAAAACAACACCGAACTGAAGAAGAAAAACAGCTACCCACAAATAAAGTATTTCTGCCATACATCAAAGGGGTCACGGACCGCATGGGGAAACTTTTGAAAAAACGCAACCTACAAACAGTATTCAAGCCCACCACAAAAATACAACAAATGTTACAGTCAGCAAAGGACAGAAGGGACCCCCTCACCACCACAGGAGTATACCGGATACCATGCAGTTGTGGCCAGGTATATATTGGAACCACAAAACGAAGCATCCACACCAGAATCAAAGAACATGAGAGACACTGCAGACTAAAACAGCCAGAAAAATCTGCAGTAGCTGAACATGCCCAGAAACAAACTGGACATGAAATTCTATTTCAAAATACTGAAATACTGGACAGCACCAGGAATCATTACGTCAGACTGCACAGGGAAGCCATTGAAATCCACAAGCACAAGCACAGTTTCAACAAAAAAGAAGAAAGTATGAAGCTCAACAAAACTTGGCTCCCAGCTATCAAACATACTACGTGCAAAAGGTCAATGAACTCTACCCACCCACAAGGACAGGGGATCACTACACACAAAAGACCAGCTAATGACACCCATCAATCACAGGAACAGATAATCTCTTCCCCTTAGTACAACAATACACCCACAACAATACATGCTAATCACCCATCTACAGGAAAAAGACAAAAGCCTATCTCACAGCCATAAATACTGCACTCCCAAGCCAACTACACCAGAGCACAGGTTGCTGACCTCTGAAGATGCCGGCCACAGAGACTGGCGAAACGTCAGGAAGAACCACCTTCAGAACACGGCCAAAGAGCCCGAACAACCCCAAACCTAACCCTAACCCTAACCCTAACCTAACTACCAAGCTGCAATAGGCGTGTACCATCGGCAACTGTGGAACAAAATTCTACCCATACTCCAAGTGGCTCCTGATGCTTCCAAGACTGAAGCTCTAAACATCCACGCTGAGGCTACAACCCTGGCCAAACAACAAAGAATTGCATCTCACCATACCGTGGATGCCACTTCTAAGGCTATGTCGACTTCTATTGCCCTAAGACGACATGCCTGGCTGAGATCTGCCAGCATCTCAGATGATACCAAATCACAAATTGAAAACCTCCCATTTGATGGTGCTGACCTCTTTAACGCCAAGACAGATTATGTAATGGATAACCTTCATAAAATCTGTAAAACAACACGCTCATATTCTACCCAACAACCTTATTGCTATCAGAGCCCTCAGTTTTGCAGAGTGCTGTCCTCTGAAGATGCCGGCCACAGAGACTGGCGAAACGTTAGGAAGAACAACCTTCAGAACACGGCCAAAGAGCCCGAAAAACCCACAACAACCATTTGCAGGCAGACTTTCTTCTAACAGCCCTTTCAACAATACCAACAACTATACCAACCATACAAACCACAAACCTATGACAGATCCTATTCCAGCCCATCGACATCAACACCACCTGCTTTTTGACCCCAGCAGCAACAGACCTGCCGTCAGCCCTTTCAACGTCAACAAAAGAAGGGTAAGCAATATCCGTAGACCCCTTCTATCTCCATTCCAGACCAGATTACATCCCTTCCTGAGCTCTTTGCGGCAAATCACTAACGACCAGTGGGTCCTTTCTATTATCCAAAAGGGCTATTTTATTGAATTTGATCATACTCTACCACCTGGACCCATTAAGACTACCCCATACTCAATGGATCTCTGAGAAGAGGTTTTCCTTCTTCTACAAAAATATGCCATACTTAGAGTCCTTTCCTCTGCCCTGCATGGTAGATTCTACTCAAGATACTTTACAGTTCCCAAAAAGGATCCTATTCTCGATCTTAGACACCGCAATGCATTCATTTGACCCAGACACTTCAGAATGCTGACACTTGACACTATTATCCCTCTCCACTCACAGGTAGACTGGTGTGTCCTCATCAACCTCTAGGATGCGTACTTCTGCATCTCCATCCACCCGCATCATCACAAATGCCTTCAATTCCGATTTGACAACATCTCATACCAATTCTGCTCCCTCCCATTTGGAGTTTCCATGACACTGAGAACTTTTACCAAATGTATGGCACCAGTCGCTGCTTATCTCCGTCTTCAAGGTATCTCTATATTCCCCTACGTAGACGACTGGCTGATAGTCGCTACCTCCTATTATGATGCCATCAGAGCTACCCAATTCAGTCTTGATACTCTTCAAGACTTCGGGCTCAAGGTGAACCTTGCCAAATCCCATCTCGGACCTTCACAAACTGCCACGTATATCGGAGCATACTCTATTTCGACTCCCTACAAGCCAGAGCTTTTATTCCTCAAGAAAGAATCACCAAACTGGGACGAGCAACCCAACCATTCTGGCCTCTAGCCTCGGTATCAGCCCATCAAGTCCAGCACCTTCTCGGGCTCATGGCATCCACAACTGCTGTTATCCAACATGCGAGACTCAAAATGAGATCCCTTCAATCATGGTATCTATCATTATTCGATCCCATGATAGACCATCTGTCCAAATGTCTCACAGTAACACCTGAACTCACCTGTCAACTCACCTGGTGGACATCTCTTCTCCACTTGCTAGTCGGTAGACCCTTCCAACCACTACAACTCATGATACAGGTCACCACCGATGCCAGCCCCTCGGGATTGGGAGCCCATTGTCCACATCATGAAAACAACAAAAGAGAAATTATTACATATCAAGCACCTCGAACTTTTAGCAGTCATCAAGGCCTTTCACGCCTTCTTACCTCTCATTGCAGGACAAGCCGTACATGTTGCTACAGGCAATACGACAGCTCTTTACTATATAAACAAGCAAGGAGGAACCCACTCTCTCTCATTACTATACCTGGCTGTCGAACGCAGGGAATGGTGTTACCTACACCACATCTTCCCAGTAGTGGTCCATGTCACCACAGATGACAACCTTGTCGCAGACCATCTCAGCTGCCTTATCATGCGAACACATGAGTGGTCACTAGACGACAGTGTTTTCGATCTGCTTTGCCACAAGTGGGGTGTTCCATCCTTTGATGTCTTTGCTTCCGAGACCAACACCAAATGTCAGAGATATTGCTCTTGAGCTGGTGCCGACAGGAGCTCACACGGATATACCTTTGTGATAAACTAGACTGGAGACCTACTCAACCTATTTCCTTGAATACTGCTCATACAACAAACCATCATTCGACTTCGACAGTTCCAGTCAAATGCCATCCTCCTTGCTCCATGGTGGCCACGACAACTGTGGTTCACGCACTTGAGGTCGATGTCAATGGACGTGTTCCATCTCCCATCAATTCCCAACTTTCTCACTAAGGACAGTGGGATGATTTACCACCCGGACGTAGTCTCTCTGAAACTTACTGTGTGGAGGATACTTCCACCATAAGAGACATAATTGATCGAGCTCGAAAACCCTCGACCCAACAGTTATACCAACATTAATGGAAGGCATTCCTCTCCTTTGCTAATTCTCAGAACTTACCTGCAACACCAGTGTCTCTGAAGACCTTACTTATCTTTATCCTTCATCTATTTCATCTTGGACTGTCTCATTCTACCTTAAAGGTTTACATTCCAGCTATTGTATGCTCACAACCTTCTCATTCTGATTCAGCTAGATTTTTCCCCACCCAACTTTGAAGAAATTCCTCAAGGGACTCCAAAATATTCATCCCCCACAGCAACATCGTCTTCCTCAGTGGTCTTTACAACTTGCCCTCAACGTACTCACTAGACCAGCCTTTGAACCAATGGCTACTTCTAATCTCACAAACATCCTTCCTTGTAGCAATAACATCTGCTAAGCATGCTAGCGAACTTGCAGCCCTCAGGTCAGATCCACCCTTCTTTCAATTCTATACGGATAAGGTTACCCTCTATTTTGATGTATCATTTTTACTTAAAATTGTCTCTGAATTCCATCTTAATCAGCCGTTAATTCTACTGTTAATTCTACCTACAGTGGTGCCTTGCTTAACAATTACCTCGTTAAACGACGAATCCGCTTGACGATGAGGTTTTTAAAACGATGTTTTAATGGGCAAAATTCGCTTCCTGATGATGCGTTCCCTACTTCAGGAACCGATTCTTCGCATTACGACGATCAAAACAGCTGATCGTCGGGTTTCAAAATGGCCACCCGCTGTGTAAAATGGCTCCCCGCTGTGCTTTAGGATGGATTTTTCGCTGCACAGGCATCGGAAAATGGCCGCCCTATGGAGGATCTTCGCTGGACGCTGAGGTATTTAGCCCATTGGAACGCATTGAGCAGTTTTCAATGTGTTTCAATGGGCTTTTTTATTTCGCTTCACGAGGACTTCGCTCTACAGCAGTTTTGCTGGAACGGATTATCCTCGTCAAGCGAGTCACCACTGTACTTTATTTCTGTCTCCTACACCTCTTGAGCGCATGCTCCACATGCTTGATGTAAGACACTCCTTGGCCTTCTACATTGATAGGACTAAATCATTCAGAAAATCACCAAGACTTTTTCTATGTTTTCATGGCCCCCATAAGCTGCAGCTTCGCCTCAAACTATCTCTCGATGGATTGTTCAAACCATTTCATTGGCCCATGAGCTAGCAGGCAAAACACTGCCTGAACACTTTCAGGCTAATTCTACCAGAGTACTGTCAACTTCTACTGCCTTCCAGCTGGGAATAGATCTTTCTCACATCTGCTGTGCAGCTGCATGGTCTACTCCATCAACCTTTGTGAGACATTACTGTCTTGATGTCCGGGCCAAAAAAAAAAAAAAAGATGCTGCTTTTGGAAGAGCTGTTTTGACCTCAGTTTTACCGGGACGACCCACCATCTGGTAAGTGAGCTTGTCAGTCACCCAGTTGTGTGCATTCACAGAGGCCACAAAGAAGAAAGAGAGGTTACCTACCTGTAATCATGGTTCTTGTAGTGGTCCTCTGAGAATCCACACCTCCCGCCTATCCTCCACTCTCTCAGTTACATTGTCTTTTTTAATATAGTTCTTTGACAGCGGCGGACTCTTACAGGAACTGAGGGGACTTCTGGTGGGCGGAGCATGTGCGCCATGGAGGAGCATCCTACTAATCACATATCTTTAAGCTCTAGAAACCTCCAAGAGGTCCTGCGCAGAACAACCCAATTGTGTGGATTCACAGAGGACCACTAGAAGAAGCATGGTTACAGGTAGGTAACTTCTCTTTATTGTCTATAATGCATCATGGAGAATAATGCACAAAAATCTGCCCATGAAGAGGGGTTCGTTCACATTTCCTGACTCACAGCAGAGTCTGAGAAATTTCTATTTTGCAGGGCTACAATTCATGGAGTCCCCCAGACATTTTGACTATTTCTGCCTGGGACATTTGGGAGCTGGTAATCTTAAAAAGTGTATTAAAAAGTGTATTAAAAACCTACATGCTGTTTCTCTTGTTCAAAGTCTTGTTTGCTGTCTTAAATGGAAGGATCTTGCAGCTGAGAAGAGGTTGTATCAGTCTGCTTCTCCCTCTTACCATCGTTCTAGGTTCCCAGGGCATGAATCTTGCCTTTGCCATCTGTTTGCTTTGTGAATTACGATGCATTTCAAACATGTTAACAACTTGAGGTGGGGCAGACTGCTCTTTTTTCAAACAAACAAATATCCCGCTGTCAGCATAGGAGCTCCATTTCCAAAAATCAATGTTTCTGCTTGTCTATACCTTGTTAGCATTTCTGTAAATACATAGTTAGTCTCTGTTAATTAATTGTATCTCTGCAGAAAGGATGTGGCTACCACTTGGACCTTCTCATGGTGGGCATCATGCTTGGCATATGTTCGATAATGGGATTGCCCTGGTTTGTTGCTGCTACCGTCCTTTCCATCAGTCACGTGAACAGTCTCAAAGTGGAATCTACCACAGCAGCTCCCGGGGAACAACCCAAATTCCTGGGCATACGTGAACAAAGAGCTACTGGAGTGATGATCTTTGTTTTAATGGGCCTCTCTGTTTTTTTAACTGCTGTGTTGCAGGTAAAACCATGGAAGAACATTCAAGGGCATTCAAAGAAACTGATTGCTCCCTTTTTGAGATAAGCCCATTATTGTTAGCTGGGCTGGCACTACTATGAGAGACTAAGTCTTGGCAATACAAGTTAACTGAGATACTGTTCTGAAAGTGCGCTTATGAGTGGTGTTTGCAGAATGTATTTGGAACCACTGCTAAACAATGCCCAAGAAAAAGTAGTGACCTTGTTAAATAACTATAATAGTGGATTATTGTTACACTAGAGTGCAGTAATGATCTTTTGCTGGCAGAGCAAATCAACATTTTAAAAGGCAATTCTAAAAATTGGGGCAGCCCAAATATATATATAATTTTGAAATTATATACAGTGGTGCCTCGCAAGACGAATGTAATTCATTCCGTGAGTAGCGCTGTCTTGTGAAAAAATGCATTCATATGGGAACCTCGCAAGACGAATGAATTTTTTCGTCTTGCAAGGCATCGGTCTTGAAAAAAAATCATCTTGGGAAGCACGGCCATGGAAGAAACCGTCTTGCGAAGGACCATAGCGATTGCAAAAACCATTCGTCTTGCAAGTTTTTCATCCCGTGAGGCGTTCGTCTTGCGAGGCACCACCGTATATATAATTTTGAAACTGGGCTCTGGATCCACACCAAATTTAGCACATTTGTATCAGACAGTTTGCTCTTGCTGTGTGCCAAATCTAGGGAGGTTTGGGCAAAGTGTTTTCAAGATATGAATAAATTATTCATTTCTCCCTGCTTAGAGAAAGTTGTTTGACAGTAATAGTAATCCAAGACAAAAGTCATAAATTATCAAAACATCTATAGGAAGTAGTTAAAAAAAGATGGAAAAGCCAGGTGGGTTTTTTTTGGCCGTTCTGCATGAGTATTAGAACCCCTTAAAGGCTTGTGTTGTCTGAAAAATATCAATACCACCGGTGTGCCATAGGATACCTAAGGAGGAACACAAGGGCTCTATCTGGATGAAGCTACTGACCCAATCTCACAGCATCCTGCTGTCTACTTGAAGGTGGCAGGCCAGCTTAGAGGCTGTAAGCTATGGGGCAAACAACTCTCCCTTTCCATACTTTGCCACCACTTCTCTCGCAGCACCTTCTCAAGGTGGCTGCCTCTCTATCTGAAGATAAGGAGTGGCCTTGTGTCCTATTGAGGAGGTGCTACCCTTTTGAGAATTGTAGGAGCAGTTTTGGATAACTGGTGAGGTGCCTCTTGCTTGTCGGTTGCACAATCAGCAAGCAAGAAGCACGTCTTTAACACTTCTGTGGTTGCCATTACACTTGTAATAATTCAAAGGGGACGCTATCCTGACATTTTTGTCTGGCAGATGACTCCTCACTGTTTCTGCTGCAGTAGCAGCTAACACAAGGACTCCTCTGGAGAGTACACATGGGGGCTGTGAGCCCAACGTATCTGGCTGCCTCAGTCAGTGTTTCTGTGCCATTCACTCTCCTGGCCTCCTTTCAATCTCTTTAGGGTGTGTGTATATATATGTAGGAATGCGTGAGATTTGAATTAATCTTTGAACTGAATTCTGGCCTCCTTTCAATCTCTTTGGGGTGTTGTGTATATGTAGGAATGTGTGAGATTTGAATTAATCTTTGAACTGAATGAATCAAATGCAGAAATGTAATAATTAGAACGTGGGAAGTTAGTTTTGAAGCAAATTAATGTAATGGCATGCTGAAACCATCCCTAACTGAGTCCTAGGCCAACCTTCCTCTACTATGAGCCTCTGCAGGAGTTTTTCCAGGGATGACACTGGAAAGCTGCATAGGGGTACGTTGGCACCCCATGACAGTTCAGCCTGTCTGTCTGTGCATATTGAAATAATAAATTTAGGATTCTGGTGGGGGCAAGTGCCCCTCTGGCTTGGCCACCAGACCGCCTCCCCATGTGCTATTTGAAAGGTTCCTCTTCTGTGATCAGAACTAAATAATAATGAAATGGTGGAAAGGTCAGAGCCTTAGGAACCAAATTTATGCTTCACAGGCTGTGAGGAGCTTGAACATGGCTTCTTTCAGCTATTAAAAGATGGGAAATGCTTGGAGAGGCACCTTTGGTTTGCCTTTTCTGGTTTTTAGGGGTGGAAGCCTTCAGGAATGCCCCTTCTGGCCATAAACTGAAAGCCAAAGCTCCTGGAGGCCTCCAAGTGCAGATAATCATTTTTTAAAAAGTTATTTTGGATGAGGCAAAAGTTCTCACGGACATTTGAGGGCTTGTAAAATGGAGGTTATTTCTGGCTCTCTGGTGTTGTGGGATATCAAAGTTCTAGGTTTACTATCCCTTGCGATGTTTTATGTTCTTTCTTCCCCTAGTTTATACCTATGGCTGTTCTGTATGGATTGTTCCTATACATGGGTGTTTCGTCCCTGAGAGGTATTCAGGTATGTATTCTAATAAGCTTTAGGGCAGGGAGTATAAAGAGCAAGCTGGCTTGAGCAATTTAGAAGTCATGCTAACTCTGTTCAAGAGTTACCCATAAACTAGATGTCCTTTGCAAATACAGATATGGAACCTTTGGCTGCCATTTGTTTCTTCAGTCCTATGTTTTTCATGTTCAGACAAACAGCCATATGTTTTGTAAGTCATGGTATTTTGAGGCATATAGTAATGGAAACTCCCTGCCTTACCTAAAGGGCTACCTTGTTCCCCCTTAACAAGATACTTTCCCTCTCTGGGATTCAGTACGGTATGTTTTATGGTATTTGTAATTTGAAATATTTGTGCTGTTAAATATTTGACTTCGTATTTTATTTACATTTTATGTATTCTTATAATTTCATGTAGAGTTTTACCATACATGATATTTTATGCATTGGGAAAAATCCTGTTGTGTAACTGTGTGCCCAGCACAAATTGGATTGGACTCCAGAAGTGTTTAATTTACACTAATTAAAAGCTTCCTATCCCTCCTTCAGGCTCCCTTTTGCCCTTGGGAAGCCTTTGGGAGCTTCAGAACTGGGGTTGGGGTGGGAGCCATGAAAAGTTTTTTTAAAAATCATCACTAGATTACTGCTTCCAGGATTAGAATGACTACTACTGAGATGGCTGTGGTATTTGACTTTTAAAGGCTTCCTCCTTTCTTCTCATATCCATAGTCTTCCCTAGGGCAAAAAGGAGCCTTAGGGAGCCTTGAAACGTACAGGTATGTGGGGGGGGGGGCGCTGGGGAAAAGGAAGCTTTTAATTAATGTAAATTAGGGCAGCTATTCCCATTTTTTTTTTTTTTGGCCACTTAAACACAATATGAAATAAATACAGGCCAATTCAAGATTGTATAAGCTCCATAATGAACCTTACGGTGGGTGAGAACTTTTTCACAGTCTGTGCTCTGTGCCCCCCCCCTTCAGATGTACCAGGGGCCTGTGTGAGGCCATTTGGCCCCATTGAGAATGGCTGAATTAGGCCCTTGCAGAGCAAAAAGAAAAAAGAAAAAAAAAGCGTGTCGCGTACATACCTCCCCATAGCGCTTAAAGGACTCTCTGGGCAGTTTACAAGTTAATTATGCAGGGTACAGTTTAACTAACCTCAGAAGGATAGAAGGCTGAACTGAACTGGGCGCAAAGTTACACAAGGTTTTGCCTGTTGTATAAAATGCCATTAATGGTAAAACTCAGCATGAAATTATAAGAACATGTGAAATTTAAATATAATATAAATATAAAAAAACAGTCAAAATAAAATACAGACTCAAATATTTAATGGTAGAAGTATTTCTAATTACAAACAGTATAAAACTTACCCAACTGAATACCAGAGAGAGAAAGTATCGTATTAACTTAGGGCAAATCGCTTCCAAAACTTATCCATTTGTGGAACTAGGCAACAGGATTCCAGCCAATATGTGAATTGGAAAAAAACCCACATTTGTTTGGACTCATATCTATATAGCCCTTAGCATGTATATAGCATGTCACATGCAAAATGCCTTTATCTTTAAGACAGAGGCAGGCAATCTGTGGCCTGTTAAATGTTACTGGAATTCAATTCCTATCGCTCCTCATGGTTGATTGTGTTGGCTAGACCTTCTCAAAGTTGCCGTCTGGCAGCATCTGGAGGTCCACCAATAGTTTACTGCTTTTCTGAGGGTTTGCTAGAGCACCTTAAGGAGTAATTCATTTATAACGTATGCCTTATTTAAAAATAAAAAAGCCACACTCTCTTTGTCTAAACATTCTTTCCAGTTTTTTGATCGCCTGAAGCTGTTTGGAATGCCACCGAAACATCAGCCGGACTTTATCTACCTACGACATGTTCCCTTGCGCAAAGTGCATCTCTTCACAGCAATCCAGTTGACCTGCCTCGTCCTTCTCTGGGTGATCAAGGCGTCTCCGGCTGCTATTGTCTTTCCTATGATGGTAAGAATGCTTACTGTCAAACAGGTCCTATTAGGGCTTGGGTAGAAGTCATGTCTACCCACAGTGTTGGACTACAAATACTTAAGATATTGTTCCAAATGATTTTTATCTTATACTAAAATATCTCTTTAGTTATATAGAATTTTAAGCTAAGAACCAGGGTGTGCAACAGGCAGTCATCCTGGAATACAGCTACGTACAAAGAACTTCTAACTTCATTAATGAAATACATTTTAATTAAATTAAATAAATTAATGTGGATGGGAGAGAGTCTGAACAGCAGTATCAGGAACCACATAGCAAATATAAACTTGGTCTTTGAGCCAGTGTCAGAATAGCATGGCTTTGGTGTTTGGCAGTATCTCTGGTCAGTTCTTCTAGGGAAATATAGATGAAAGGAAATTAAGTCAGTGCATTACTTCATTCCCCATGGCTACCAGCCCAAGATCTTTTACTGCTTGAAGAAGGCCAAAATGGAGCCTTCCCTTCAGAACAGTTTATTGGTGATATTGCTGCTTATCTGATCTAGCTTTAAAATGTCCAAGATTTTGGTATGGGGGGGTTACCGTATTTTCTATGTATAAGACACCCTCATGTATAAGACGCCCCCCCACTTTTCTAACCCAAAATTAAGAAATCTAAGTGGGGCATAGCAACTGTAGGGGGAAAGGGATCAAAGTGTTACAGGATTGCTTTGATCACTGCTTTCTCCCTTTGTTCTAAGCCCTGTGGGGTGTAGCAAAAGGAGGCGGAAAGGGATCAAAGCAATCCTGCAACGGCACAATCATTTTGATCCCTTTCCCACTTATACAGCTGTGGGATTGCTTTGATTCTTTCCCCCCTCCTTTTGTTAAGCCCCATGGGACTTAGCAAGCAGAGGAGAAAGCAGGGATCAAAGGGATCCTGCAGCGCTTTGATCCCTGCTTTCCTTTTGCTAAGGATTAGCAAGTGGAGGGGAAAGGAGGGATCAAAGCCCTGCAGGAACAATTTGATCTCTGCTTTCCCCTTCACTTGTTTTGTACTCTCCTCAGCTTACTTCTGTGTATAAGACGACCCTCAATATTTAGTCTAAAATTTTTAGACAAAAGTATAGTTTTATACACAGAAAAATATGGTATTTGCTTCTGTTTACTCACTAGGGCTATGTACTGCTGGTTTGGCAGCTGGGCAAAGTGGGTGAAGTGAATGTGCAGCACTTGTTTACTGGTATGACCTTCCCCAAAGATACATTTATAAAACCTTGTCTTGGCAAGAATATGCCCTTTCCTGGGTTAAAACAAGAGTGTTCGACACAAGAGGACTTATAGAATTCTGCTACATCTGCTTCCTCCCCCTCTTCCCCAAACTCTCACCTAGATCCCAAGGTATTTAGTGGTCTGAGCAGGGGAGTCTTCTAACCCCAAGATTTTGTGGATGCTCCCTTCCCACAGCTCTGAGTAAGAGCCACTCACATACACACTTCAGAAGAATCTCTCAGCAAAATGTGGATGTGGAAGCAGTTTTATTGTTACTTTTTGCAGTTTATAGAAATCAACTCATCTTACAATCAGCTGCTTCTTTTCAGAAGGGGAGACAGTCACCATAAACAATCTGTAGTTAACATTTCTGTTCAGTTAATAGATAACAGTTAATTCTTTTAACAGTAAAATCTATAGATTTGGAGTACCTTACGGAGTTTCAAAACTTCCCTCCTTCTGCATCACAAGCATCCTGTCCCCGAACGTACAGTTTGAATTTTAAAACAATCTTATTTGAATGTTCATGGAAGATGGTGGAGATTTTGTTATGGAGAGTCTGGGAACAAGTCCAGATTTTTGAGAATCCTAATGGAGCTGCTTAGTAGTGTACTACATGGTACCATGAGCCATCTGGAGATGTAGTTGCCTCTGTAGCCAAAGGGTTAATCATTCCTTTGCCACTTTACCATTGTTGCAGATGGTGAAGAAGTAGGAGGTCTGGCTTAACCTTTGTGCTTAGGATGTACAGATGGCTTTCTCTGCAGGCAGTGGTTTTTAAGTACCTACCAAGATAATCCTAAACTATCTAAATCCACTTCTCACTTCACTTTCTTTACTGTGGCAATTTCAGAGCGTGGTTACATGTGCAAAAAATCCCTATATTTTAATTGGGTTTAGCATGTTTTAAATTGATTTAAAAAGAGTGTGGATTTTTTTTTTATTGCCCAGGAAAAATGAATCAAAAATATATATTCCTGGGCAAAAATATATATAAATTCACACTTCCATCTGTTCATTATATATAAAATCAAAAGTGAGGTATTTTGCTTGGCTGGTAGAGACTTGTTTGTTTTAATTCACATGTCAGATCAATTTATTTTCAATTGTTTTGGTATATGTTAATGCCTTTGTCAGTGTAAATTGTGTCTGTTTCCTCACAGCCACTTGCCGCTGTTGCTGTTGGGTTACTTTTATTTTTTTAAAAAGAAATATTTCTAAGTGGAATAGTGGTAGTATGGCAAAGATCCTTTACAAAGATGAACTGCTGATCAGAGAAATTTTCAAGATTGGGAGCTTCTAGGCTTGTGAAGATGGAGGGAGAGCTTTCCCTTACCCAACCTCTCTCTTTCTGCTAACTTGTAAATTTGCAGTCATTTGTGTGTCTTTCCTCTTGCCCTGTCTGTCTCCATGCATGTCCGAAAGCTAGCATTATGATCTATTTTTTTAAATCTGCCATGTCATACTATTGCTATTCCACTTAGAAAGATTTTTTTTTAAAAAAAAATAATTAAAGATGACCCAACAGTGAGTGGCTTTGAGGCAGCCAGAGAAGGGATGGGTGGGTGCAGGAGAAAGCCTCAAATGCAACGTTTCTAAAAACCCATCTATCCTTCTCCACCAAGATACAACACAGATTAAAAACAGATTAAAAGTTTTCCTATTGGGGATGCACACACCGAGCCAAAAAACATGTGACTATCACATGATTTTAAGCCAATTTCCAAATCTCCAGTCCATCTCCTGATTTATTTTCCTAGTGTAACCATGCTCTTGGTGTTCTGAATTTCCTTCCTCTTGCCTTTCTCCATTGATTCAAGAAGTGTGTGTATGTGGATTGATAATTGGAGTGTACATTGAGTTTATTTATGTGAAAAGATAAGCCTGCATCAAGTTTTTTTCCTCCTCACCCTGCTCACATTTTCTTTTCTTGATAACCTCTGGTTTTCTCGAGGCCCATAATGCCATTTAATTTCATGGTCTACAGTTTAGTTGGAGTTGTTAAAATAAGGGTACATTTTAAAATATGTAGTTCTAACATGGATGTTTTGAAAACTTGGATTTTCTTTTTATATCATACATTGCATATTGTAAAGGCCTATATGGTCATAAGCGATAAAGTTTTGACTGAGACTGATACTCTTCTTCATACAAAAAGGTTTTGGCCTTGGTCTTTGTCCGGAAAGTCATGGATATCTGCTTTTCCAAGCGGGAACTCAGCTGGCTTGATGACCTCATGCCAGAGAGCAAGAAGAAAAAATTAGATGATCAGAAGAAAGAGGCAGCCCAGGAAGAAGTGAGTAGTCTTAATATTTGGCTCTGCTTAAAATTAGTTGTATGGATAAGAGTCTGGCTGCCAGGTATCAGTGGGTGTGTTAAGGAGTAGGTTCTTGCCTTCTGTGGTATTTCCATGTCACCCACACTCTTATTTCCACACGTGGCAGTTCTGCGAGATCATTTTTGCCCCTTTTTTGGATAACAACTTTTGACACTTCTCTCCTGTCCCAGGAATTCTGTCCCTTTTTAAAAGATTTGAGTGAATCTATGATTCCACCATAAAGAATTAATTATTTTCTTGTGTCTGGTGGCCAGATTAGGGATAACACTTCAGTTGAAAAGTGTCAAAAACTTCCTTCTTCAGAACTGGAAGTCTAGACTTTGGAATTGGGCCGTTATGGAGAAATTAAACCAAAAACCTCAAAACGTAAGAAATCCACAGACACATGAGACATTCTTTAATGTATGCCACTATCTTATTAATCATCCTGGTTGTTACAAAGTTCTTTAGGCACTAGACTAATTTCATATCACATTATGGAGTTATGTTATGATCAAAACGTATACTGGGACCATTTATCTTTCCCATTTTTATCTTTCCTTCATTACTTTTAACATAACACATATATTTGTATCTGTTTACATGGATCACCTGGATCTTTGTACCTTTGATAAATTCTGTTTATTCTTGTTATTAATCCTCACAGTGCTCTTGTAGAATAAATGAATAAAAACAAAGCAATTGGACTTAAAAAAAACGCCATATCTATCTTTCAGAATGTGAATATGTTGCCTAGAAATCAAGTTTCAGGCCTAAGATCCTCCTGTGCATATTGATCAAACGCAGCCTCTGCTATTTCAGTCTCAAAAACATCATTCTTTTTGCTCATATCTTTTATCCCTCTTTAGTGAGACCAGTTCTAACATTCCACCTTCACTAGCTACAATATATGACTCTGCCCACCTCTCCTTATTTCTTCTTTGTCGATTGCTTATTATTCTCCTTTTCACCCCAGATCTGCACAAATGCAGGGCTTTTTCCACACAGAGCCAGGAACCCTGCAAAGGGCAGGGACCATAGTTACAGACACAGAAGTCAAACACTCTGTTTAGTCCTTTGAGGAAAGTCTGGAAATTGAGAGTGGGAGACAGGAAACATGATCCTAATCCTACCCTTCTGCTCCATAGGACAGGGCTTGTGCCTTGGCCACAGAATCATAGAATAATTGGGTTGGAAGGGTCCTACAAGGCCATTGAGTCCAACTACTTGCTCAATGCAGGAATCAAAATCAAAGCAGATCTGTCAGATGATTGTCCAATTTTCTCTTGAATGCCTCTAGCATTACCTCCTGAGGTAATTGGACCCACTGTTGTACCGCTCTAAGAATTACAGTGGGGTCTTGACTTGAGAAATTAATCCATATTGGAAGGCGGTTCTCAAGTCAAAAAGTCTGTAAGTCAAGTCTCCATTGACCTACAGTGCATTGAAAACCGATTAATCCCGTAACAGGCCGTTTTTGTTCCATTTTGGTTTTTTTCTGGTCTGTAAGTCAAATCTCAGTCTGCAAGTCAAACCTAAATTTTGCGGCCAGAGAAGTCTGTAAGTCAAGCCGTCTGTAAGTCAAGGGTCCACTGTAAGACATTTTTCTTGATATTCAACCTAAATCTGGCTTCCTGTAGTTTAAGCTCATTATTACACATCCTGCACTATGGGATGATGAAGAACAGATCCTGCCCCTCCTCTGTATGACTACTTTTCAGATATTTGATCTTTTTCCTCAGTTTTCTTTTCTCAAGGCTAAGCATGCTTGATTCTTCCAGACTTTCCTCATAGGACTTGGTTTCCAGTCCCCTGATCATCCTCAGAACTTGCTCCAATTTGTTGGCATCCTTCTTAAAGTGTGGTGTCCAGAACTGGACATGGTACTTTAGATGAGGCCTAACCAATGCTGAATAGAGGGGGACTAGCAACTTTTGGAATTTGGAGACTATGCATGACAAAACACTGTAGGTCAATTTTTGTAAGTCAAGAATAAAAATTGAAAGGCTAAAGGCTAAAGGAACATTTATAATTCATACATACAAAATATTACAGGCATATCCACAGACATATGTCTTTTCTAAGTATAACGGGTTCTCATTATATCTATTGCAAACATATCTAGTGATAATTTTTTAAAAAAAATCTCATCAAAAGATTTTTATTAAGACATCTTGACAGGTGAGATAGAATATTCTTGTCCACATTAAAATGTAATAACTCAAAGACCTTTTGCCCATACTTTCCCATATTTGGCATACAGCAAGGGCAGACTGCCCGCTATATCTGTGACAAATTTGGTGCTGACCGGAAGTCCAGTTTCAAAGTTATAATTTTTAATTTGGGCTATCTCCATTTTTAGAATTGCCTTGTACGATGTTGATTTGCTGGCTGCACAATAACATCACTGCACTCTTGTAATGCACTCTTATGCGGTGATAATTGCACTCTTGTGCAGTGATAATTGAGTATATGGTAGGTCTGTGATTCCAAAGAAAACACAGTGGTAGCTGCTGGTTCAGCAACTGTTTCCCACCCTACTGAAATACAAAAAGAAAAAAAAATAACATTCACTGCTTTGGAACATTCAAAATTGAGTAACTTCAGTTTCCCAATTTTGATGCTTTAGTTTGTGAATCTGTAAGAGTGTAGTCTTTTTACCCTGTCAGATCTGAAGAAGGGTTTTTATATATTGTACAGGAATCTGATAAGATGATAGAAGCCCCTTCGGAAACTGTGATTGAAATACCTGTAGTGAATGCAAATTATTTGACTGTACCAGGAGGGGAAGCAGCTCATCCACAGAGCATTTCACCCAAACATATCAGGTAATTTTTTAAAATATAAAGCCAGAAGAAGCTATCATTCATTTTGTTAACCAATCAGTTAATGCATAGCCTGCTTTTCCTCCAGTGAGATGACACAGACTGGCTTGCTCCGGGATGCCCAGAGAGTTTCATGGTTCCATGGGCCTTGGGACCTGGATTTCCCACATCCCATTCCCACACTGTAGTCACTGTAACCACTCCTTGGAACAACAATTCAGTACAAAACAGAGAATCAAGGCCTGCTATAACATTCTGCCGGACCTCATCAAATGGCATATTTCATTTTTAAAAATGTATATTAGTAAAGCTTGAAGGATGCCTTGAGCCTCCTCTCTTTAAGCTATTCTAAATGATGATTGTCATGTTATGCTAAAAAATGTTTTTGCTTCTGATTTTCTTTTTTCATAAGATGATTGATCGCATGGTTGTTGTGGGTTTTTCGGGCTCTTTGGCTGTGTTCTGAAGGTTGTTCGCGAATACATTGATTGATCACATTTGTTCCTGGCTTGACCATAGAGATTTGCTGTCCGTCATCCCTTCTCCCTCACTTGGTGCAGGAAATGAGCCCCCCATTTTTATTCTAACATTTTTCAATGTTGTCCTGAGGAGCTCAAATTTAACTTCTCAGATTTTCAGGTGATTGAGGGGTGAGACTGTGAGCAATCTGGGTTTAGAGATAGGTAAGTTGGGCAGTCACCTGGGGGTAGAGGCGTGATGAAGGCACTTCTTGCCCAGAGTGCCATTTACCCCTGACTCTATGATCCACTTCTTCTGGGGCACATCCTGGGACTGTGCATCTTGCCCAAGGCCACATGGGCTGGCTTCTCTCCCAGGAGGCACAGCGTGGAATTGAACTCCCAACCTTTGGCTCTGAGCTATCCAGCCAGCACTGTGTTAGGTATACACATACCTAACTTGTAATGGCTTTTCTTAAGGGATATGGTTGAGAGCCTGCCTGCAGCCTAATTGGGCATGCTCCTGACTGGACCTACGTATAAGAGAAAAGCAAAGAGAAATCCCCTTTCTTGTCCCCTCTTGTCTCTTCCCACGTCGGCTTTCATTTCATTTTTCAAAGTGATGCAGCACATATTTGCTGCCGCAATATATTAATTTCTCTCTCTCCCCCCCCAGTTCCCCAGCCCCTTCATGCAGCTGAAGAAGTGTTTAATTTGCCAGTATCCTGAGGTAGCTTTCCTATTAAGCCATTTCATGATACTGGCAAACTGAAAGAGGAAGGCTTTTGGTTCATTCCTAGCAACCACATTTGCTGGAACCAAAAGCAAAGCAAAGTGTACTGTTTATATACTGCCTCGTCACTCTTAAAGCACTCTCTGGGCAGTTTACAATTAGATTATGCAGGCTGCGCATTGCCCGTCCATCCGCAGTGAGCTGGGTGCTCATTTTACCAACCTCAAAAGGCCGGAAGGCTGAGTCAACCTTGAGCTGGCTCTCTGGGATTGATCCCCGGGTCGTGAGCAAAGTTTTGGCTGCAGTACAGCTGTTTAACCACTGTGCCACAATCAAAACCAGCATGAGCATACCCACAGCAGAAACGGAGAAACCCCTTAATAGGAGCCAGAAAGGTGCAGATAGAACTTCTCTGGAGGTGGGCTGGTTCACTCCAGCAAAGACATTGTCTGATCATTGTCTTTAGGAGTGAACCAGCCCTTCCCTGCAGTGGACTAGACAGCATGCTAAATATCCATGTAGTAACTCTCTTATTCTAATGCTGAAAAAAGGGCAAGGTTAGCACCAGGCATGTCTCCTGTGAGAGGGTATTTGAAATTCAGGAAACCTGCACAAGGAGGCCCCTATCTTGTAGTACAACTCAATATACTTCCCACCAGTGGTGGGTCAACAAGATGGCCCTTAACCCCAGAGCCAAAAGTATGCACAAGGTGGCACTGGGCAAAATATTGTTTGCTTGCTAGGTCCTAAACCTTTTAGGGATTCTCACCTTGAGTTCAGCTTCAAATGTCAGGGATGGCTTCTTAACTGTCAGATAACTGACTACAGTGGTGCCTCGCTTAACAAAGATAATCCATTCCGGCGAAATTGCTGTAGCGCGAAATCCTCGTTAAGCGAAATAAAAAATCCCATTGAAACACATTGAAAACCCGTTCAATGCATTCCAATGGGCTGAAAAACTCACTGTCCAGCGAAGATCCTCCATAGGGGCGGCCATTTTCGGTGCCTGTAAAGCGAGGAATCCGTCCAAAAACACAGCAGGGAGCCATTTTACACAGCAGGCAGCCATTTTGAAGCTGCCGATCAGCTGTTTTAAAAATGCTGTAATGCGAAGAATCGGTTCCCAAAGCAGAGAACCAATCGTCGCAAAGCGGATTTTGCCTATTAAAACATTGCAAAACAGTTATCGTATAGCGGTTTCATCGTTTAATGAGGCAATCGTTAAGCGAGGCACCACTGTACTTTGTAGTGCCTTTGTAGCGCTTTTTATTTCATTGCACTGCCTTATAATTTTTCACTAACTTGTTCTTTGCAGGCATGATCCTGCAGATATCAACATCTCTGAAGAAATGCCAAAAACTGCTATGTGGAAGACTCTGACCATAAATACAGGCAAACAGCCCTAATTCCAAAGCGAAGAGGTATGGAAATATTGTGGCTTGCCCCATTCCACCATAAAGAAAGAATGTGTACTTTAAAATACAGTGATGCCCCGCATAGTCATGTTAATCCATTCCAGGATTAATGTTGCTATCCGAATTCGTCGCTATGCGGGGGGGGGAACCCCATAGAAACGCATTAAACTCTGTTTAATGCGTTCCTATTGGGGAAAAACTCACCGCTATGCGGGGAATCCTCCATCTGGCCGCCATTTTCACCACCCGGTAAGCGAGGGCAGGGCGCGAAACCGCTGCGGGGGGCTATTTTGTTGACCCGGCGGCCATTTTGGAACCGCCGATCAGCTGTTCTCAAAACATCGCAATGTGAAGATCGGTAAGCGAAATGCTTACCGATCATCACAATGCGATGTTTTGCCTATTAAAACATCGCAATGCAATCGCATTAGCGATCACAAAAAACGTGTCGCTATGCGGATTCGTTGTTAAACGGTGCGCTCGTTAAGCGAGGCACCACTGTATTGTGTGGCTGGATGTGCTGTACCCACAAGTGCTAGGCCTTTGGAACTGTTGCAACCCTCCATGTAACTTCCAGAGGAAAAGCAACCGTTGGACTGTACCCCAGGACCTACCCATATGCAAGCAACCCTTCATCCATTTTGTATAATATTTGATTGTCCCAAGGAGGCAGCCAACGAAGGGGTTTGCCAAAGAGTATAACCAGTACTGCCATGGAGACAAATGATTCCACATTTTCTCATGTTTTCAGGGGAGGTGGAGAAGAGGAGGAATTCACTTTTGATTTGTGCCTTTAGATAGTCTGGAACTGGTATATCTCTAATGGTATTTCTTGATTCATTCACAGTGTTGACGTTCAGGTCTCTCAGCCTTGGATGAGGAGCTGCAGCACATGAAGATGACTCAGGGAAGAGCCAAGATGTGCAGGCAAGGGAAAGAAAGACTTCTGCGACTGAGCGGGGCACTAAGAAACAAATGGCCCTGAGACATAACTTCGTGCAAATAACTGGGTTCATATTAAAGCCATTCAGAAGTGTTTTGATTATCCTTTGTGTGCTTCAGTGGGCATTCTAATTATCTTTAGACCAGCAATTCAAGAACGCACACATGATCACAAAACGTTTAGTGTTTAAAGCCTGTGTGTGTGTGCGTGTGCGTACGCACGTGTGCGTCTGTGTATGTGCATACTTTGTATTGCAGTTTCTTAGTTGTACAGGAACTGCTGCTGCTGCTGCATAGTTACTTTCCCCCTTCCCAATGTTTCTTTCTCAACAGATTTAAACTGAATGTACAAGAATAATAACAATATAACAGCACAACTATTTGGAGTTCCTTTTTTGACAATGCTCTCCATATTTAATTGTTCTTTACTAGTTCATTAAGGGATTTCACCTGAATTTTTTCACTAAATCATTTTATATAGTTGTCACAGAAGCAACGTATAAGGAATAACACAATATAATTGCTTACAAACAGGTGGAAGAAATGTTCCTCTGAGTTGTTTATTTTTATTTAAATATTTTATTTAAATATATATATAATTGCTTAAATTCTGTTCAGTTCCTTCACTCCTCGTGTGTGTGTGTGAGTATGTGTGAGACAAGATCTAAATTCATCAAAACACTTCCATATGGCAACCACAGTAGCATGGACCAAGCATTCTGTGTGTTGCTTTATCAATGTGTGTTTGTGGTATGGGTGAATCCAACCAAGCCATTGACCTCAGGAAAGCAAATGAGGTAGCAGGACAGAGGTGTGCTTGGCTTCTGAAGTAACAACTGGCAGAATCTTAACAGGGACCTGCAGCCAATGTGATTTGTGAGCCTTTGTAGAGAGAAAGATGCTCAGAGGTGGAAGGAGGAGCAGAGATATGCTATCAAAAGGGAAGAGAAAAGTGGCAGATAAGAGGAATCCTCGTGGGGATTCACCTAGGCCAGGAGTCTATGTACTTCACTGCACAGTAAACATTTTGATATCTATTTATTTATTCCATTTTACTTCTGTGCTACCTTTCTTGCTGTGCAGGGACCTAAGGCAGGTCACAAATGGCTTAAAAACATATGCAAATATAAACAGTACATTACAGAGGTGAAAGCAATTAAACAAACCAATTAAACAAAAATAATATTTAAAAGAGTAGGGACTTTTAATATTTTAAAACAGCTTGAAGACATACTTATAATGTACCATTAAAAACAATAATGTAGAGCACGCCACATTTCTCCTATTCAATTTGTTTACTAAAAGCTTGCTTTAAAAGGAGGGTCTTTACTTGTTACTGGAAGTATTGTTGTGAGTGGGGGGAGGCAAAGTGGCCTCCCAAGAGAGGGCATTCCACAACCTGGAAGTAGCCACTGAAAATCCCGTTTCTCACATTATCACCAAACGTGCTTGCAAAGCTAACAAGACTGACAGAGGGGCCTCTCTTGAAGATCTTTAAAATCCAAGCCTATAGTCAGTACAGTATTTCTGTGACCATTTAGATCATGATGAGATCAAATATGCCCTTGAGAACCTTTGCAAGTCAAGAGATAATATATGAGTTTCCCTGGGTATTAACTAATAAATTGTCCAGTGGAAGGAACCAGGGGGTTAATAAGCAGAGGAAAATTGCCAGTCCATTTTAACTCATGGCATGTGCGGAGAAACACAGGGGCAGATTTCAAGGAAACAAACCCGACTCCACCATAAATAGGTATATATATATTGTCATTGTCCTCATCTGCCATTCCCCAGCATGATTGGAAGAGACCTTAACTGGTTGTGTTACAAAGCAGAGTCATCTTCTGGCCCATCCAGGGTTGGCAGAAAAACCGAGGCTTTGCCCGTGCAGTGGGGGTGGGGGTTGGTTTATGCTACAATAAGGGGAAGGAGACAGCTTTCCCGAGTACTTCTGCCAAGAGAGTTGTATGCAGTTTTGATAATTTTGGCCTCTAGGATCCTTCGCTGGGATCTTGGGCTCCTCCTCAGGAACCAGAGAAAATAAAAATTTGGGACACAGAAGAGAGAGGAAAAACAGGCACGACATACTGGCTTTTCTGACCAGTCCCATTGTGTGTGTCCTGACTTCTGCTGTACTTAACTGCAGACTGAGCTTTGTCCTGATTCCCGTTTGCAGCTTAGTCCCCAGCCTGTTTTGGGTCATAATCCTTGAGGGGCAAGAGGGGATCAAGAGACCACATGGGCCTAGACTGTGTGGATTCGTTCATCTAGTTGCAGCCCCTGCACATTTCTCTTGCAGCCTTGGTACTGTCAACCTCTTTCTAAACAGTTGACTCTCCTAAGGATGTACTTTGCTGTTTTCAACACCAGAACATGTGTTATTGTGGCCCATAATGCAAATACAATCTAGGTATGAAAGGGATTTTAAAATGTATGGTTTCAATAAAGAACAGAAACCGCTTGACCAAATAATGTTAACATCAGATGATAAATTAATTAGGAAAATATATAAAGTATCTTTTAAATTGGAAAATGGAGGATGAACAAGTCAAAGAAATGATTGTTCAATGGGCATTTTTTTTGGATATAATATTGACTTCGAAAAATGGCAAAAACTGTGGTCTAGAAACTATAAAATGACAATGGCAGCATCTTATAAAGAGAATGTATACAAAATGTTTTATAGATGGCAGTTACCACCTGATAGATTAGCTAAAATGTATTCTAATCAGTCAAGTAAATGCTGGAAATGTCATTAAAAACTGGAATTTATTATCACCTTTGGTGGACCTGTGATAAAGCAAAAAAAAAATTGGACAAAAATACATATATGGCTTGTTAAAATAATTTTTAAACATGTAGATTTTAAGTCAGAACTCTTAAGTATAATACCAGAGAGCTTTGATAAACAAAATGTATACTTAACTAAAACCAGAGTATGCATTCAGTCCAGAGCATGTGTTCAGTGAAGACAATTTAGAAATAGAATTTAGATGAGAGTGTCAACACGGCAGACTTAGAAATTGCTGAACAGTTCCCCTCCTCCTTAGAGAACCCTGGAGTGGTAGATTTGTGATGAATGAGCTGTGTGGATCTTCTACACAACAATGGAGGGTCTCCTGCTCTCCAAGGATCCTCAACATAAAATTACCTATGCTTAGCACAACCGACTGGAAGAAGCCATGCCAGTTTATCTGGCACAAAACTAATAAAGGTTGCAGTACAAGTCTATCCATAGGGTGCATTCATATGTCACAGTAAGGTAGGATTCAAAAAAATGGGAGCTCAAGAAGACTTCAGATGTCTATCATGGAGCTGTTATAATGGGATGGAATGAAGGCAGGTGGTAGAAGGGCACGGAATGTCTTCAGCCAAGACATAATTTGGTCACAGTCATAATCCTTAGCCATAGTCAGTTTTTTTAAATGCCACAATTCTCTCAGCTCAAAGCTATTAACAGATGAATACTAACCTTGTAACACAGTAACCACGAACTGAAAATCTGAATTAATTTATGATTTGTAATTTCAGTACTAATGTTGTAGGCAGTGTCAATGCGGTTGTGGGTTTCAGCAGCTGGGGAGTCCCTCTAGCGGGCTTGGACTCAGGTCTGATCCAACAGGCCACCTCTTACGTCCAGAAGGTGAGTCAGGACTAGAGTCACATTGGGATTTCTCTGATCAGGAGCAAGGCCAGGGGGAAACTGTGTGTTATAAGTGACTCTGGTTGATACAAGTTATAAACAGAGCACTGACCCAGGAGCCAAATGAGCAAAATCCAATAGCACAGCCCCAGATCTGTAACATGTGAATGAAGAGGAAGGGTTTAACCTGGCTTCCACCACCACTGCATTCCCACTCAAGTTTGCTGGGACAGTTCATTGAAATTAGTGGAACTTTCCCAAGTGAATGTTAAGATTGGTCAATAAATGGGGTTCTAGTGACTTGTAAAGGAGGCCCATAGTTGGAGCAGGAGAGATGCCTCACACCAAAAATTTGGGTGGAACTTCATCCTTGCTGGGATCACAGGCTGTCCTCACGGCTTGGCTTTTAAGTGAATTGCAGGTTGAATCACTGGTTCTTAATATGGTAACTAGGAAAGCCAATTGGATTTACATAAGCCTGGGAGGCAGGAAAGTTTTAAGGGTCACTACTAAAGAGCAGGCCGGGTAGGTGGGGCTCGTCAGCCATGGAAGGCAGCCCATCTAGGAGAAGGAAACCTCCGATTTCAAACCTCCACTGCCTTGTGGCTGTATCCACTAATGGAAAAGGCTTCAGGAGTTAACCTAGAGGCAAAATCCGGAGCTGGAGTCCCGAAGGCAGCTCGTGTCGTTCTGCCCACTCCTGCGATGTTGCTGGAACCAGTCGTATTGGCTCTTGCCTTTCCATTGGACCATTTCAGCAATGTGGAGAGGGGGGATCTGCTCCTTGGGTAACAGCTTATCCTCCATATTACTTTACCCGGGCTTCATGCTCTGGAGAGGACACTCCTTGATTCAGAGCATGTTACCATAGTCTCTCGAGGCTGAAGGATGCCTATATATATAACCTTTGTTCCCCAGATGTTTTTGGACTGCAACTCCCAGAAGCCTTCACCATCAGCTATGCTGGCTGGGGTTTCTGGGAGTTGCAGTTCAAAAACACCTGAGTAACAAAGGTTAAGAACCACTGGGTTAAATAATGGAAACCACTCTACATGTTAAGTGCCATTATTCCAAAGTATAGTTCTGAATGCCCACTGTCACTCTGAAACTGCCACCTCTCGACCATCCCGCTATGGACATACCGTAAAACCAGGAAAATCTGAGTACCTTTATCAACATTTAGGTAAGGTAAAGGTTCCCCTTGACATTTAATCCAGTCATGTCCGACTCTAGGGCATGTGTTCATCCCCATCTACAAGCCATGGAGCCAGCGTTTGTCCGTAGACAATTTCCGTGGTCACGTGGCCAGCACGACTAGACACGGAACACCATTACCTTCCCACCCTGGTGGTACCTATTTATCTACTCACATTTACATGCTTTTGAACTGCTAGGTTGGCAGGAGCTGGGAGAAGTGATGGGAGCTCACTCCATCACGTGGATTCGATCTTACGACTGTGGGTCTTCTGATCTTGCAGCACAGAGGTTTAACCTGCAGCGCCACCTTTATCAACATTTACAATCTTCTAAATCAAATTCTTAATTTGTGCAAAATAATGAAATCATTAAATAGTTCATTAATTTCAGTCTTCTTTTTTGCCTTACCTGTGCAAAAAAAAAAAGGCCACATTTTTGCAGGGCAGATAATAAAAGTCAGTCTAGAGATAACATTATGTAGCCAGGCTTAGCAAGATTTATTTTAGCTAAATTGCAAGGGGGCCTGCTTTTGATCTAGCAGCATTAGTTTGGTAAGAGTGATTTCAGTATACTGGTAACTATCCTTCTACAAGATGTTTTATTCTGATGTAGCACAAGCAGCATTTGGAAAGCTTCCCCTCATGTAGCATGCTGAATATTTGAAAAATTTGTAAATCAGTCCCTAAGAAAGTTGGGTTGGGTCTAGGATCTGCTTTCTACTTACGGGAAGGCCCTGTTCATGGAAAGTGTGCCTGCCTAGTGTTCCAGAATCCCCTCCACATCTCATTCAACAGGTTCTCCTGAACCTCTGTAGCATTTTCAGGAGCATGGATGTGAATAAGGAGTGGAGGAATGGAAGTCCACTCCCAGCAGCTTAGTTGCACTGATCTTGATCAAATGTGCGTAGTCATAAACCCCCATTAAGGTGCACCTATCTGTAAGCTGGGAAATCAAAATTCAAAGACGAAATGGAAGAAGAACATGAGCTTGAAAATTAGGTACTTTCAGCACAAAATGAGAGTACCTGTATCTCTGATTTAAAAATAGGAAGTCAAGATTTACTTCTGAGGTGGGGTTGTTCCTGGACCAGGAAGGGGGGGGGCTGCATCTCCTGCCCTCAAATATTTGGGAGACTTCCATGCTGCTCATCAGGAGCTGTCCTCATTTTGAGAGGAACATTGCCTTCACAGTATTTAATGGTCAAATGATGGAGTACTGAATTGAGTGTGAAAGAGAAAGTGATGGGAAGCAAAGCGGTCTCTTCCATCTTTATATTGAATGGTTTTGCATGAAGGGAGCATATGTCTGAGAGCTGAGGGTCTGTTTTGGATCAGAGTGGTGCACAGAAAATACTGTACTGGCACCCATACCCAACCCTAACAAAATAAGCCTCCAAAACCTGTTATCTGGGAATTTAGTGGGGCAAAGAGAGACAAAGAGTAACCTATGGCTGACAGGAGCTATCTATATCATTTCTATAAGGACATTTCTTTTTTTCATGAGAATATTTTGCCTGATTTTCATTTGTTTGCCTTTTTAAAAAAAGAGCTATCTCTCTCTATAACGTCCCCTTTCAAAGACAGCTGGTTGCAAGAGCTGTCCGGGCTTATTTGACACCTTTGGAGCTAAGACTATGACTGTGATCACATGGGGAAATAGCCTGCAATTTGAACTAACTGTGGAGCAATCCGGTGCCATCTATTTCCTGGTGATCACATGATGGCATGGGGAAATGCAATCTACTCTGCTCCCAAACCATGCCCAAGTTGAACCTTTTTTGGTCCAGCTATGGGGTCACTACTTTTTGGGACTGGACTGGAGTGCTTCCTCAGAAGGGTCGCTTTAAGGGAGACTGCTCCCATTAAAGCAACTTTTTCTGGTGCAGTCAGGTGCATTCCCTTGGAGCCATCTGATTGCACTCTGAGTAGAGCAGGAAGGCAGTGTTATGGTTTTGCTGTCACCGCAAAACCAAAGTGTGGAGCCCTTCATAGGCCTCAGGTGCATTCCCTTGGAGCCATCCGATTGCACTCTGAGTAGAGCAGGAGGGCAGTGTTATGGTTTTGCTGTCACCGCAGAACCAAAGTGTGGAGCCCTTCATAGGCCTTCACTGCTGCCAGTGAGCCTAAAATGCCAGGGCCTTTGAGCAAGAATTGTTTGCTTCATTCCAGCTTTCTGGAAAGGTGGAGGGAAGTGTCATGGATCATGACTTGGAGACTCATCTTATTTAAAGGGGAGAGGCAGGGGTTCATAAATGTGGCTGCAGGTTCTATGTGATATGAAAGCGTCCTGCTGTCTGAAAGCCATTAGATTATAGAACCTGTGTGCATTCTAAAAGAACATCATTTGTCTCTGAAAAATCACAAGCCATGTGAAGATCTTCATAATCCTGAGTGAGGAAGGAGGAGAATCAAATAAAGAAAAGGTGCTGGCACATTTTTCTAGTGTATTTTCTTCCTCCTGTAACCACTACATGTAGAAATAGAGAAACTATTTTCTTTTTTAGATATAAAAGAAAAAAGTATTTATTTTGTTGTAAAAGATGTAATTTCAGAAAACACTCCATATTGTAAATAAATATAGAAACAGGAAGATGGGTTCTATCTACTCGCTCTGTATAAATGACTAAACACTTCTAAATTTAGCTTAAAAACGAGTGATGTAGACATGTATAGTTTTGTTCTGTTTTACAGTAACAGACATATATTCTGCCTCTTACTTCCTGTCTGTAAAATGTCTGTCAGTGACGATATTACTCTGACAATCAGAAGTGTGCCTGTTGTTGACCTATGTGTTGTTCACC